ACACACTGACCCTTTGGCAGTGGTCTGGCCTCCTGGCAGCGGGGGAGGACACTGCCACAGCTGGCGCTTTGGACCAGGGGAAGGTGGGTCTATAAGGAGGACAGAGTCAGGCAGGTACCCTGACTACAGGCAGCAACAGGCAGACACACCTAGACGCACCTTAGAGGTCATTCCTCGACCCAGTGTGACACTGCTGAATGCTGGTGATTGGCTCTTTTTACGTGGTGACCTGTCAGTCAGCTGCGAGCCCGCCTCCTTCCCTGCCCTCTTGCTCTCATCCAGTAGGCGGACCTGCCATTATGAAACATGAAGACAGCGGCTCACATGGCTCACACTGTAGTGTGGGGGCCAATAGGGGGTGGGGGCAGGGTAGCCCCTAAAATCAGATTGGCCGTCTGGATGCCTCCCATTTCCATTGACTGTCAATGCATGGAAGTCCATTGATAAAACACAGAAAACAGTTTTCCCAACTATAATTGTAGCTGCTCCTAAAACAGCTAAAATATAGAGGATGCCCATGTGTTATGGATACATAGCCATGGATGGCTCAGGTAAAGTTGCTGGAGAATGCAGACACCAGGGGATGCTGTGGCTGAACTGTGCATCCTCAACCAGAAGGAGAAACAGATATTTGAGAGGATGCTATTTGAGTGATCTACCAATACCTCCAAACATGCTGGACCCCTAGATTGGAGAGAAGCCAAGGGACCTGCTACCTGATCACTGCTGAGGATGACCTCAATGCTGATTTCATGGTATTCAAGCACATTGCTCAAAGAGAATGCTGGCCACACCAGGACTGGCCCTGCATCCTGGTGCCCAACTTCATACGGGAGACCCAGGTTGTACTTGCCATCCCAGATGACCTCTGAAGAGGGCAGTAGTGGCTTAATGGTTCAGGAAGCGCACTTGTAATTGAAAGATTGCTGGTTCGAATCCCCAACCAGCAAGGCACCACTGAGGTACCCTGAGCAAGGTACTGTCCCCAAGCACTGCTCCCCGGGCGCTGAATTAGCTGCCCCCTGCTATGTCACATTGTCACATATGGGTTAAATGCAGAGGACACATTTCGTTGTTGTGCACTGTGGTGTGTCAACAATGACCACTGATCACCTAATTCTAAAGATCTTGAGGCCTTACAGGCAGAGATCCTGGCCCGTATGGGGGTCTCGCCCTTCTTTAGCCATGGCGGTTCAGTTCACCAACCACTTGGAAACACTTACCCAACCAGTCTGCCTACTGCCAGATGCAACAGTTGATGCGACTGGCCCAGTGCTGGCTCGGGTAAGCGGCCAACCGCAGGGCCGTACTCCACAGCACAATAGTCATGAAGGTAGCCCTGGATCTCTTTTTGCACTCCCTTTCCCAAGACCAGGACCTGAGGGTGACCTTCCTGAGAAGCCCAATCCAATTCTTGCGCAGAGGCGGAGTTCCTATCCACAAACCCCAGAACAGGCAATTTCAAAATAATTCCAAAGCCCCTGATCCAGCTCCAACATGAGGCTCGCCAAGCCAGATGGCACCCTGTGGTTCAGCGTCTCCCCCTTCGCATCGTGTCAATGAGCTGGTCGTACATCTAGCTAAGGCTCACTTCACCTCTACTCTAGACCTTACCTAGGGTTACTGGCAAGTCTGCTTCAGCCCATCTATCAAGGAAAAATGGTTTTCAGTTAAGTGGCCCTGACAGTACCAGGTTCTCCTTTTTGGGGTCCATGGGGTTCAGGGTATTATTGTGGATTTGTCCCAAACTCCTCCATAGCTGCCCCACTTTCTGATCTCACCTGGAATAACCACCTCAACCATGTCTGGTAGATGCCTTCCAGAGGTTGAAAACAGCCCTCACCACCAAACCTGTCCCTCACACCCAGGACCTAGTCCCTCACACCCAATTCTCTCCCAGGACTTTTGGGGCAAGAAACATCCATAGCTGTTTGTCTTCCAGAAGCTCACACCTGCTGAGCAATGGTATGTCACAGTGGAGCAGGAAGCCCTTGCCATCAAATGGGCCATCCAGGAGGTGAAGTATTTACTCTTCAGGTGGCCCTTCACCATCATTATCAACCATGTATCTCTGCAGTGGATGGCCTGGGCCAAGGACACTAATGTCCAGGTGACTAACTGATGTCTTGACCTTCAAGAATTCAATTCCTCAGTGCTGTACCAAGTAGGAACAACCCTTGGGACTGCAGATGGTCTGTCCCAAATGCACTGCCTGGGTGCCACCTAAGGGGGGGTCTTTCTTCCATCTCCCTTGCGCTTACCTACCCTTCTGTATCACATAGAACCACAGGGCCACAGTGTTGTGCTTGAGGTGGGGGGGGGGTTTGTAACATAATAGTAACTCCAAACCCACCTCCTACCACCAGTGGTGAACATGGTTCTCTCACTGTTGGCCTCAAAGGGTACTAACTGATAGCTGGTGACCAGAAATTGCCCCATCCAGGGGGTGTGGAAGCCTTTGCTACATGGCTTAAAACCCACACCTGGGGAGGGAAGGAAGGAAAAAAAAGGTATATGAATAATGTTTGCTTGTACTCCCCAGGTGAAGACCACCTTAAAGGGAGCGCCACCTTAAAGGTAGCTCCACCTTAAAGGCAGTGCCACCTGAACTGTAGGTTGCCCCTTTTTGTATACACTGCTCCCCTTTTGTTTTTCCTAATAACACTTGATTCTGAGGGGGATTGCTTTCACATCTCTGTCTCCTGAACCTTTTTACCTGCGACATAAAGCTTTGCGTGATGATGGTGACTCTTGTTAATTCCAGGGGGTGGGGGGGGAAACACAACATGATTCTGAGTGCCAAAGATGGGGAGGCATTGATTAGGCTGTTAATGAGCCAGCCGGGGAACTGCAGAAGACAACTGTTCTGAAGCTGAATCCCGACTATTGTTCTGTATGCATGTCAATGAAAGACTGCAGAGTCGGAAAAATCAAACAAAGGGGTCATGAGGATCTGATTTGTTTTTAGTCAGATCAGCAGAATGCATTTCACTAATAATTTTTAGGATAAAGACACTAGAAAAATTATTACGTAATTGCCCCTCCTGCACCCCACCCCCACCCTGCTACCCGCCCGCAGACAGCATCATACCTCCTTGGTGGGAAAGGCGTGGAGCGGGATCCTCCTGCCTCCCATCAGACCTGCATACTCCCTCTCCAGAGCTTCCAGCTTCTCCTTCTCCTGCAACCAACAGGGGGTATTATGAGCCACACTGCCTGTGCTCTATCTGGCTGTATGTGTGCGTGTGTGACAACCTCCTACCCTCTGCAACATGGACAGCAGGTTGGCCCTTTCCTTCATGAAGTTCTCTCTCTCTCGCTGAGCTTGCTGGGTAATCTGGCTGCACTGCAACTTCAGGGCCAGGAGCTTCTCCTGGGCATCAAGAAGAAGCACCATGAGAGGCAGACACATGCACGTGCACACACACACACAGAAACAGACACACGCACGCACACACACACACACAGCCCCTGCAGCTGACACACACACACACACACACCCTGTGGCTGACACACACACACACACACATCCCTGCAGCTCCTCCCTGCACCTTGCGTGTCACTGTGCTTCGCTGATAGTCTGCAATTTCTCTAAGCAGCTGCTGGCTGAAGTTCTCCTTCTCCTCCTCCTGCCGGCTCCCTCGCTCCAGCTGCTGGCCCAGGTTCTCCTTCTCTTCCTCCTGCCGACTCTCTCGCTCCAGCTGCTGGAATTCCAGGTCCTCAAACCTCTTCATCTCCATCTCCAGCGTCTCTGCATCCTGCTCAACACGCACGCACGAACAGTATGGTCATGTGCCTGCCTCTGTTTAAAGCGTCCCTTCCCTAGCCACTATGCCACCTAGTGGACATTAGGCAAAAAAGATGCAGGAGCCTGGAGGTACTGACTCTGGTTGAGAATAGGGGAGCAGAGGGGGGAGGAGGAGCAAAGACAGCGAGTTACGCAGAGCAGGAGACGGGCGCGGCTGACCCTGGACAGCTGCAGCTGGAGCTGCTCTCTGAGGGCCTCAGGACAGGTGTCCAGCTGGGTCTTCTGCTCTGAGAGAAGCTCTGCCAGCTTGGCGACCTTTGCCCTCTGTGCATCGAGCTGGGCCCTCTCCTAGGGAGCGAGCGGGGAGGTACATGGGTTAGCAGCATGAATAGGTGTTAGTCTGGGAAGAAGGCATGGAGGTCAACAGAAAGAATGAAAAGGTTTTGCAGAGGCTGCTATGAGCACAGCACTCAAAAATACCCAGAATCCCACAGGGCGTGCCCAGAGTCACTTCCTCCAGCTCCGCGTGCAGTGTGTGTGTTACCGTAGCGATGCGGGTCTGTCCGCCGCTCCCCACGTGGTGCAGTTTCTGGTTGAGCTGCTCCAAGAGCTCCTTGTCACGCTGCAGTTGTTCAGCCTCGGCCTGCTGCTCCCCCTCCAGCAGGGCGCGTTCCAGCTCCACCTAGAACAAAAATGGGAACGTGAGTAGGAGAGCCGGCTCACATGTGAGCATGTGAAGGCCCACACCCGCCTGACCTCTCGCACAGACTCCTCCATCTGATTGTCCAAGTCTTTGATCTTCTGCTCCAGCTCCTCTACATTGTTCAGTGCCTGGATCCTCTCCTCTTCAATACGTGTCACTTCCTGTTTCAGCTGCACCTCCTCCCCAATCCCAGGCAGCTGCTGAAGACAATTTCAGAAACATTCTGGGTCACGTACCTGATGACAGGGAGGCGACGTCATAAATGCCCGTGACAAAGATGAAGAAGCGAGCGTGCACCTCATTCGGAAGGCGCGGTGAAGGAGTGGTCACCAGGCGGTCACGCTGCCCGCTGGGCCTGCCCCGCCGGGCTCGGGGCTCAAAGGCAGCAGAATCAGAGAAGACGGACTCATCATCAGACACCTGCAGCTTCTCCAGCTCGCGGTTGATCTTCTGCAAGTCAGTCACAGTGGACCCGCCCCGGCCCAGCTCTGAACACAGGCTGAGGATGGTCTCCAAGCGCTGGCGCTCCTGGGGGCCACATGCTGCCATTACACACAGACCACACACTGTAGACTCACACTGACCCAGGATCAGCGGTCACAACATTCACCAAACACAGCAGACTCACACTGACCCGGGATTAGTGGTAAGAACATTCACCAAACACTGCAGACTCACACTGACCCAGGATCAGGGGTCAGAACATACACCAAACACTGCAGACTCACACTGACCCGGGATTAGTGGTAAGAACATTCACCAAACACTGCAGACTCACACTGACCCAGGATCAGGGGTCAGAACATACACCAAACACAGCAGACTCACACTGACCCGGGATTAGTGGTAAGAACATTCACCAAACACTGCAGACTCACACTGACCCAG